TTGGCGCACTTATGCCAATTCACACTTATGCTAGTTTGTACTTGTGCCAGTTTTGTAACTGCTTCGCACTTATGCCAATGTTTGCAAATTTCTTTGGCGCACTTTTGCCAATTCGCACTTATGCCAATGTTTGCAAATTTCTTTGACGCACTTTTGCCAATTCACACTTATGCCAGTTTGCACTTGTGCCAGTTTTTGTAACTGTTTTGCATTTAAGCCAGTTTGCACTTATGCCAGTTCGCACTTATGAAATTTGCGCTTATTTAGTCGTCCCCATTTTTCTAAATCTGTTTATTACATATATTTTTCTAAATCTGTTTATTACATATTTTGAGAAAAATGCAATTAAATAAAAATAAATTTTAACTCTTTGTAAAACATTTTTTGAAACAATCAATTTTTATGAATTTTTTCAGAACTCTTTGAAAATATGTATTTAATAACGTTTGTAGACATATAAACTAGCTTATTTTGTCAAAATGGATAAAGTCAAAATGGATATTTTTTACTTTAAGGCGTTTTGAAAAACCGCTGCAGTATGGATAATACAACGAATATGTTGAAATGAGATAATTTGACACGAAATTTAAATGCTCTTAACAAAAGCCACTAAACCAAAAAAATTAAAATTAGTGCACTTAAAAGTTTTAATATAGTGTGTTGGTGTTTGCAAAGAAACATATAAATCATTTTTTAACTTTAATATAAACTATTATTATTTGAAACTTTGTTGCGCTAAACCATCCCTACATATGTATATATAAACAAATATGTTATTTGTTTATATATAATGTTTTTAAAATGTAAAAAATTCACTTATATAACATTTTATTCAGGATCGTATGTTATGTGAGTAAACTTTTCTAATAATTACAAGTCTTTTTTGCTCAAGCTGTTTTGTTTTGATTTTTTGTAGTTATATTATTATATCTTTAAAATGTTTTATATATATAAATATGTTGTAATATAGTCGTATATAGTATGGTACAATTTAAAAAATATTTTATATTATATACATATTTTTTAACTTATACCATACTATATACAACTATATTACAACATATTTATATATATAAAACATATTAAAGATATTATTAGAATTAATTAGAATCTATCTATCTAAATATATATATATATATATATATATATATATATATATATATATATATATATATATATATATATATATATATATATATATATATATACATATATATATGTATATATATATAGATAGATAGACTAAGTATAACACTTCTATTTAATCTCCTTCTAAGATTGTTCAAGTTTTTTTTAGTGAAATATCAAGCTCATTAATTGTCAGTTTTTTTTCTACTAACAACTGCTTATTAAAACTAAATTCTCGTTCTATTGCCTATTGGCTGTGAGATAAAACAAAAATGATAGCACAGACTATCCACAATATTGAATAATTTTGAGTTTTGTGCAAATTCACATTAATATATATATATATATATATATATATATATATATATATATATATATATATATATATATATATATATATATATATATATATATATATATATATATAGGCTTGGTCGGGAAGCGGGAGCGATCGCTCTCAAATACTGACCACGGAAATTATATTTAGTTGCCAAAAACTGGCCAGGTTTCTGAGAACATTTAAGTTTATGTACATAACAAAAAATTTTCGTTTTACGGACATACATGGAAACATAATAAACTTCAATGTTTTCAAAACATCTTGGTGCGGAAGAATAAAAAGAATATTTGTGAACACTATAAACCCGCTAAGTTAACGAACAAACTAATTCTATTGGTTCAAAAATTACACTTACTAAGCGAAATAAAGTTCGAGAGTATTCTGTTGAAATGTTTTAGAAATTGTATTATTCACGATTTATTATGTTTTGAGATTTCTAGCATAAATTGTTTTAAGAATATATTATCAATACTATGGCTCATTCTCGGAGTCACATCTGCCAAGCTGTAAATCTTTTAAACTATTATTATTTGTTTACAAAAATAAATGTTTTATAATATACTTTTTTTAAATATTCAAAATTCTGAAAGTTTATTATAAATTACAGATTTTATTAGTATATTCTTATTTTTTATTTAAAAAGTATGTATTTTTTATGTAAAGGTAATTTTGTGTATCTGTTTTTTATTGTAATGTAATCTTTTATAGCAATTTTTATGATTTAATTTGTAAACAAAGACTTACAAAAATAATTGCGTTTTCAATGAAGTTATTAATAATCATTAAAGCTAATAAAACTGATTTTGTAACAAACATATAAGAATTTTTCTGGTTTCTAAACACAAACAATGCATACAAAGTAACTCGCGGATGAACAAGCACTGCACCTGAGGTCACAACAGGACACAAATATATATAGCAGATATAAAGAAAAGTTTTTAGGTATTGGTTTACAAACTCTAATTATTTTTGCTTCAGTTGCCATTCTTAAAAATGCATTATACTTTTTTCTGCTTTAAATACTAATTAAAATTAAAAAGCCCACTCACTAAACATCACTAGCAATATTGTGAAACAGTTTCGCTTCCTTTTCATAAAGCATTTTTAACCTTTTTAGTTGACATTTTTAAAACCTCCCAATTAACATTAGGACTATCCATTGATACTTGAATTAGTTTTTCAAGATTAAACATCTTTATTGCTTCAATGAGTTTATCAAATAAATTTAGTAAATGTCTGAGGAATTTTGAGTCAATATATCTAACTTTTACGACACTAGAACTGAAATTCTAGTATATAAATCAGAAATCTATTTGTTCATTTTTGAAGATAACACTCATACTTTCATCATATGATAAAATAAGGATCGGTGATGCTTTGACATTAAAGAAAAGCTTGTCTCGATAGTATGGTGCTAATCCAAAATAAATAAAGTAACCACATTTTGTTTTGCTTAATGCAAACTTTGATGATGTTGTGCTGTCAGAGAATATTTTATTTGAATTTAAGCATGATCTTAAAGAAAAATGTGACATTACTACACTTAAGCTCCATATTATTTCTACCTTGGTAACCAGAGCTGGCGTAATACTGACAGTAATAGTTAACAATTTTTTTTTTACATTTCAAAAAATACATAATATTAAATTCAGTAGAAATCTACGCAATATTAATAATATTTCTGTAAAAGGTAAAAAACATGATAACGAAATATTGAACTACTCCAGAAAAAAGGATTTCCAGGATTTATTTCTTAAAAGGGTGTTTTTCCAGAACTTTTCAAGGACCTATCAAAATCCAGGACATTTCTAGGTTTTCAAGGACTGCTGGCCACCCTGATGATATATTTGTACAAGTTTTATATATTTTTATGCATTTGTATGCAACATAATTAAAATTAATTAAAAAAATGTAAGATAAATGCAAAAAGAAACTTGAGGCATAAAGGTTTATTTTGCCACACACTGATGCCAATGCTCAAAATCTTTTTGGCTTAACTTTTAGATTAACGTTTAATAATATTCTTTAGTTCTTAATCATAATCATAAGAATGATTTTTTTTTTAATGACTATGTTTTAGTGCTCTAAGATCTTTTTAATTCCATTTGCATAGCGTTATGTACGTCTATTAGTGTAAACGTCTTTAGCATATGTTGAGTTTGCAGGCATTATATGGAATAATTGCATATATCTATAAAGTGAGAACATTTTAGAAATCTTTATTACTATATTATTATTTTTTCGCTATAAATATATAAGCAAAATTTAAAAAAATTTTAAAATTTATTACGCTAAAAAGAGATCTTAAACAACACTAATGACAGTGCACTTAACCACTGAGCAATCAATGAAATGTATTTAGCAGAAAAACAAACCTAATTATGTCTCTTATAAGCTCTACATATGCGGAATAGGTGCGCATGTTTTTTGCTCTTAAAGTTTTTTTTCAGAATAAATTATTTTACTAAAAAATATTTAAGTAAATAAGGAATAGTTATTGAAATAATAAGTGAGGAATAGATATGTAAATTGGTAAAGACCTGTATTTTACGGATCCGGAAAGCTAGGACATATATGAAGAAAAAGTATAGAAAAGTTCAGTTTGGAATAGATTTATAAAGACCCATATTTTTACGGGTCCTATCTCAGCTAGTTAGAAATATTAGAAACCAGTACTTATTGATGCAGTCAAACAGTAATTACTTTCAGTTAAGTTACGTAACTGGTTTTTGCTAGAACATTTTTAGATATAAAACTAACAATATTTCTAACATATATGCTTGTCTGGCTAGGGGTTGTCACTATGATAACTGTCTGGGAATGGATGGCATTATTTCTAATTCTACTACAAAGAATATTGTAAAAAAATCACGATTTATAATTTGACATAGTTTAGCTGGTACTTTAAACACCTTAGGCACCTGTAACCAGTCAAATCCACCTTTATCTAAAGTAAATAGTTGACCATCGCTTCTACTTGTTTTAGGAGTATGTATAAAGCTTCAGTAACATACTTTTTCTGGTAAATAGAGAAGTGCATTAACTAAAAATCAAAAGCTTTTTTGTCTTATTTCCTGGACTTCACATGAAAAAAAATTCAAACAAAAGCTCATCTAACCTTTTCCTTATAGCCACTGGTACGCTTTTGAGGGACCCCCTCCCCATATTTGTGTACATAATTTATAGATGCCCCCAAGGTAATTAATTTCCAACTCAGAATATTGCTCATGAAGACTTTCAGAGCATGCATAATTTTACTCGTTGATAATGTATTTCAGTATTATGAGCATGAAATGTCTTGCTGGGCAATTTTATTCATCACATGCACTGATATATATATATATATATATATATATATATATATATATATATATATATATATATATATATATATATATATATATATATATATATATATATATATATACCCCCATAAGAGTCAGAGTTAATAGGATTCTACTGTATGTATATAAAGGTACTTCAAAACCATTAAAAAGTTTTAAAAAATGCATTAAAAAAAAAAAATCATTACGAGTCATTTTTTGCAGATTTACAATCCAATGCTGTTATTGTGACAGTAAAGTCAACTTGATTTTCAATTTGCACATTTTGACACTCATTATCAACTGGTGATGAACATGAACCTTTGTAACGAACAGTAAAGCGATCTCTATTTGAATCATCAATTAAACGAACAGTTGTTGCTATTTTCTGCAAATCAAATCAAGTTTAGTTTTGAATAAGAGAAATTTAATGAGAAAGATTAAACTTAATCAAGAGATCATCATTTAAATGCCAAATAAAAATTATTTATATTTTTACTATTTAGAGTTTTATATATAATTACCTTATAGCTATCTCTGATTAAATCTACTATATTAGAGGAGTCAAATTCTAACTTGCCAATAGCAGCTCCAGTATCTTTCCATTGTTCTGCCAATTTCTAAATAAATAATAAGCAAATAAAATACACACACATACTTGAGTGTCCAGAAATAAATACTTTTTTTATTAGGATAACTCTCAAGTTTTTCCCATTCTCTGGAGTACCTTTAGGTAAAAAATTAACGGAGAAAATAAATAGTCAAAAAGTAGAATAGGTAAAATTAGGCAAAAAGAAAAAAAAAAGAAAAAAAAAAGATACAGACTAATCCCAGAAGGCTATTTTTTTTTCTAAAGTATCCTTTCAATCAGTTGCCCAAGAACCAACTCTCCAGCATTGGAAATGTGCTTAGTTGTATACAGTTAATCAAATCTCTAAGGCTTTTAAAGTTTAAATCTACTGAGCACCTTTTTATCTAATCTACTTTCATCTATTAGGCTGGCACAGATATATTTTTAATACATTGTTTCCAGTTTAGGATGTTGAATACTGGATTTTCTTGACTCGATGCATGGGCTTTGGTTGTGTCTCTGTTTGTATGACTAGGCAACTCATTCTATTATCTCCTAACGAGGGTACAGCTCTAAAACTTAGTTTTATGGTTCTGAGGCAGGCTGGTAGTCAGGTTTCCCGAACTCTGTGATAGCTCTAAGAGAGGCTGATTCCATCAACAGCTGAAAAATATCAGATAACAGTGCCATGTTGTGCATGGATGGTGTCCCTGTTTGTACTTTTGGTGTGCATTGCCAAGGCCACATTGGAGCCCTTTGTTACGGCTTAGGGTTTATTAGTGGAAATGAGGCAATTGCTTGAGCTATAAAACAGTGTACTGAGTACTATCTATGTTTCGAGTCAAGTTCTTTAACAAATCTAAAAATGAATAAAGTAACAAAAACTATAAAACACAAAAAACCACAGTCATCACTAAGTTCGCTAAACCTATCATTCACCAATATTCGTGGTCTTCGAAATAACTTTTCTTCTATTGAGTCTTACCTCTTGCAAAGTTCACCAGACCTACTTGCTCTTTGTGAGACTAATTTGAGTTCAGCTGTCTTATCTTGTGATCTTAGTATTGATGGTTATCTTTCTTTAATTCGTAAAGACTCCAATAGTCACATGCTTAGCATGGGCATTTACATTTATAAGAACTCACTCATTTTTTTGCAAAACTAGTTTTAAATCCACAGACTATTTTTTTATGTGCTTTTGTTTAGTACCACTTAACTATATCACCTTTCTTTTTGTTCTATATCGCTCTCCTTTATCTCAAGACTGCACTCTTTTTGATGTTATTTCTAATCATATTGACCAAGCCCTCTCTCTTTATCCATTAGCCAATATTGTTGTTGTTGGTGACTTTAATGTTCATCGCACTGAATGGCTTGGCTCAGTGTCAGTGACTTTGCAGGCATTAAAGCCTGCAATTTTTGCCTTTCTCAATCCCTAAATCAAATAGTCAACTTTCCAACTCGCTTTCCAGACAACCCCAATCATTTACCTTCTCTTCTCGACATATGTCTTGTTTCTGATCCTAGTCAGTGCTCAGTTTCTCCACATTCACCCTTAGGTGCCTCTGATCACAGTTTGATCTCTCTAAAACTATTATCTCATTCTTCTTTATCATCAGAATCCATCTATCATTGTACCTCTTACAACTACCTTAAAGCTGACTGGGACTCTTTCTGTGATTTTCTTGGTGATGGTCCTTGGGTAGAAATCTTTCATCTTCCTGTTGACAAATGTGCTTCTTACATAACTTTTAAGGTCAAGCCTCACTCTTCTCCATGGTTTTCCTCACATTGTGCTGCTGCAACTAGTGCTTATCAGAGTCTTGTTTTCCAGCCTGCTGGAAAGCAGCATCAGTTATCCCTATTTTTAAAAATTCTGGAAAGCGATCTGATTTGTCTAACTACCGTCCCATTAGTCTTCTTCCTATCATAAGCAAGGTTTTTGTTAATCTTTAATTAACAAACACTTAATCTCTCATCTTGAATCTAATAACTTGCTTTCTGATCATCAATATGGATTTCGATCTTCGCATCCTACGGCTGATTTGCTAACAGTAATAACCGAAAGGTTTTATCGTGCATTTGATTAAGGTGGAGAGGTAAAGGCCATTGCTCTTGACATTTCTATAGCGTTTGATAAAGTTTGGCATGCTGGTCTTCTCCATATACTTTTTTTCTTACAGTTTATCTGGAAACATCTTAGGATTGAATCCTTCCTTTCTAATCGTAGTATAAAAGTTGTTCTTGATAGACAGCACTATTCTTCTTATTCTGTAACCTCAGGGGTTCCTCAAGGTTCAATCCTTGGCCCTATACTCTTTTTAACTTACAATAACAATTTTCCAGATATTCTCACATCTAAGGTGGCATTGTTCGCTGATGATACTACCATTTATTCTTGTCATGATAAGAAGCCAACTCTCTCTGATTGCTTGGAGGGGCTGGTGAACTTTGATTCAGATAAAACTCAATTTTTTTTCAACTAATCGTTATCGCAATAATTTAGACTTTCTTATATTTATTAACGGTAATGTACTCGATGAGTCATCTACCCTTAATCTTCTAGGATTGACTCTTCTGATTTTTCATAGAAACCATATATCAAATCTGTTGCAAAATTAGCATCTGCTATAGTTGCATCTCTTTATCGAGCTCGACACTTTTTTTCTCCGGATTCTATTCTCTATCTTTATAAAACTCAAATCCGGCCTTGTATGGAATACTGTTGCCATATCTGGGGCGGATCTCCTAATGATGCCATTTCTCTATAGACAAGGTGCAAAAACGCATTGTTAACATAGTTGGACCTGCTCTTGCAGCCAACCTTCAACCTTTGTCACATCGCTAAATATTGCTTCTCTTTCTCTTTTCTACAAATATTATAATGGGCACTGTTCTAAAGAGCTAGCCTCACTTGTGCTATCTACTAAAATTCAATCTCATGTCATTTAATAAAGTCTCATCCTTTTTCAGTTACTGTTCTTAAGTGCTCCAAAAACCCTTATTCATCTAGTTTTTTTCCTCGAACATCAGTTCTTTGGAATTCGCTTACTTCATCTTGCTTTCCTGATTCATATAATTTGCAATCTTTTAAGTCGTCTGTCAATTGTTATCCTTTTCATCTTTTTTCTTCCAGTAACTTCCAAACACTAATTAGTGGTTGCTTGCAGCCTTGTTAGAGGCAAAGATGTAAAAAAAAAAAAAAAAAAAAGCATATTGTAGCTTGCTCTCCAAGGTTTCCAGGTAAAGATCTTATCTGCAAAGAGTGGATTATGAAAAGATCTAAACAAGACCTGTCACTGCTCTTGTCACTGTAATCTTGTAATGGGTGTGTGGAACATATGCCTGGGTAATTAATTAACTTAAGAAACGTTTTTAATTAAGATTTTAACTATTATAAGATTCTGAAGCTCTATACTAAATATTGCAAACTAATCCATTTAAGAAATCTAAACTGGTATTACAGCATTAGTAGATTTACCAAGATACAAGAAGATTTTATACAGGAGAGTAACAAACTATTCTACATGAGGAGAAGTTAAAAAAGATTCAATTAGATCAACTATATTCCAAAAGGGCCAAGACGGAGGAAATTCAGTTTTTTCTAGACTAGAAAGAGAATAGAAAAATCTATATTACAAAGTATTAAAGGTATACAAAGAATTTGAAATGTTAAAAACAGACAGGATTGGTGGCGAAGAATAAAGAATATAAAAAATAAATGAGTGGAGAAAAAACAAAAGAGATCTGGCTCTAAGTGAACTTTCTTATGGATCTGATGGTTCCTCTGATCTGAAGTTGTAGATTATAGTTTTAGTCACATATATAGATTCTGTTGATAAATTATTTCAAAAATAAAATTAGTTGTACTAATTTTAAAACTAAATTAAAATACAATTAGAGTAGAAATATTGTTGTTTATTATTTAAATAATGATAAATATTAGCCACGAGGATTTGATGGATTGTACTTCTGCAGTATCAGCTCAGTATAGGGTTTGGATGTTATATTTGGAGAGAGTCATATAGAGACATTATATCGCTATATGTACGACTGCAGAAAGCCTTGCCAATCATCAAGAAAGAGGTGGATAGTCAGTTTGGAATGAGATACAGATTGGATTATCCTTCTACAACATTACAAGAGAGACCTTAGAGTTTTGTAAGAAAGCATTGACTAAAGACATTTAACAGGGAGGATCACAAGAATCTCGGTGAACTAGTTGTCTCCTATTTAGGAGGAATATATCAGGCTTTCATTTTTATCAACCTGGTGCCTGTACCAATAATATAGTATTATATAATAATATATATTAATAGATAAAGACAGCAGCATTACTTTCTTCAATATGCTATGGACCCTGGTTCTGTAAATCCTACATGGTAAACAAGTCAACTTCAAATGACTTGGCTGCCTTTAAGTCATGGTTTAAATAAGGGACTATTACTTAAAACTAAGACAGGCCCTTCTTATCAGCATGCAGCGACATGCTTGGTACATAACAGAACAGTTAGTTATACTGGCCCTAGCTGACAATGATGTTGATAAGAAGGTAAAAAATATGTTGGAGATGTTATTCAAGTGTGATGTCCCTAAGCAGTTTCATATGGGAAACCAAAGCTACTGATTATTATAAGGTTAACAGAGTTTACTGAACTGGTGGGTTCCCAGAGCTAGATCCTAACAAAGAAGCTGAGGTTTATGTTGGAGAGGTAAAGTAGTGAATCAACGGAGATGTCAGTGAGACACAAAAACGCAAATTAAAAGACTAGAATGTTTTTAAAAACATTCAGAATGTTTTTAAAAGCATGATAGCAATACTGATAATAATAATAGTGATATGGAAAAAAATATTAAAAAAGATTTGTGCATGCGCAGTGATTTTACTTACTCAGAATCTTAACCTAGTGTTGATGAAAATTCTGATGAAACTTTAACTAATAAAATAACTTCAGCAAATAAATTTTTTAATCATATAAATCATTGGCGTAAAGTTTCTATTCAAAAAAAAAAAAAAATGGATGTTTTTAATGATTAAACTTTTCCAGAAGCATCTTATCCAGAATACCTTATCAGTACTTTAAACAAATTTTTAGTTCTGTTTTTTTATTTTTATAATATTTCTTTTTTAATGAGAATTAATATTGCTAAAGCACAAAGTTATTTGCTTATTAAAAAAATCTATTGGCGGACAGTGTTGTTCCATAAAACCAGTTATAATTTTTTTTTCCCACCATACTGACATAAATGAGGTTCAAAAAACATTGTTTAATTTTTTTTTATGATAACTTACTTGATAAACAGGAAACACATCAGAAGTAACAGCAAGGATAGGAACAACTTTATTCTGTTTCATTTTTACTTTTAGTTGTGAGATAGATGGATAATCCTAAAAAAAATTTATCTTGATGTTTTATAAAATAACTTTTTTTTATAATTGCAAAAACTTAATTTTTTTTTGTAAGTCTTAATTAAGTATATTATTAAAACTTTATGTAAATTGCTAAGTTACTACAGAGTGAAATTTTTTTTTATTTTTTCAACATACAACTAAAAAAATGTTTAATAAAAAAACTCACCATTTCATTAGATTTGTCATATATTTTGTATGTATCTTTATCTAGTAAATGACATAGACCATCATTTGGTGCAGTGATACCTCCAATCTAAATTGATTAAAGACAATAGACTATTACCATTATAATCAATGCTGACTAATGTTACTTTAAAAAAAATAAGTTTTGATATTATAAAATTCTGGTATATAATAAAGTATTAAAAAAAAAATTTAAACTTGTTTCTCTGACAACAATATTTATTGTTGATGGTTGTGTATTAGATTGAGAGAGTTGTAACAACTCTCTCAATAAAAATTAGGAAAAATAAAAAAAAGGGTAGCTTCTTTAACTTAAGTTACATAACAGCTTTGGGGACACACATAGATTTAATACAAATTAGTATACGAGTGTTTTAAACAACAACAAAAAAATAAAAAAATTACTTTTCCATCACCAGCAATATGTGGACTAGCATCTGTTACAAAAATAACAATTCGACGGGCTTGATCCATATTTTTCCAGCCTAATATCTAAAGTTATACTTTATCATTAAAAAAACAAATATGTTTTCTTCAAAAACAAAAATAAACAAAATAGCAAAAAAAAAATTTAAAAAAATAAAACAAAATAGAAAACATTTTAGTTAAATATAGGAATTGGTAGTACCGTATCACAAACAGAAACTTGCATAAGGCCATCAAAACCACCTTCTGGTGTATCCAAATTACCTGAAATTTTCTGTTGAGCAACTGCTTCCTATTATTAATATAAAAGAACTTAATTTACTTAAAAAAAGAGAGAGATCTTCAGAAAGTTTAGCATTTATAATGTTAAGAGAAACTTAACATAAATGCTAAACTTTTTAAAAAAGTTGATATTTTATAGAAGATAGTTTAAAGTATAAAACCTACCATAATTAACAATAAAAAAAAGAAGATAGTTTTAAGTATAAAATCTACCAATATTGACAAAAAAAACTTTTTTTTTTAGTTTCTTTAAAAAAATGTTTATGATATTTCTTAAATTTGAAAACAATATAAATTTAAAACTTTAAACAAAACTTAATTGCTAACAACATATATTTTATCATGACATCAAATCAAGTCCTCAGTGTTGTACTCAACAATTGATTGGGTAATACTGTTTAAGCAAACTATTCTTTTTCTTCACACCCAGTACTGATGACAGCCTACAAAAATTGCACAGCGTGGAGAAATTATTCAAACTCCATAATTGTAGCATGGCTCGCTCTGACAGTGATTTCTAATGCTTTTCAATGTCAAAAACTAAATACAAATATTAGCCCAACAATGTGCCAACCATGTAGCATATTTTAAATAATTTTTCCATGTATATCTGAAGCGTTTTGACACGCTGAAACAATTAAATTCAAAAATAATCATTTTTAATCAAATTTTTTTATATAAGCAAAGCGCTTTTAAACAAAGCAATGATTAACTTGTATTGTTCATTTATAAAAAGAAAAATTTTAATTTTATTTTTTAATATATATAACGCTAAGAAGGTTTTATTAAAAATTATATAAATAACTATATATAAAAAATATAGATTATTTTTTTATTCTTTAAATGTAAATTTTTTAAAAATATTTGTACGATTGATTTTATAAAAATAAGACCTTCAACAACAACTGTGTTTTCAATAAAAATTAAAAAACAATAATTGTCAAAGTTAATAAAATTAATAATCAAATAAACGTACAGGAACTTACAAACAACTGGGCATAAATATACTATATACATAGTAAGTTACAAGTGGCTGAACACTGTGCTAGGAGGTCAAACAAAACATACATTTATATAAAATGACTTATGGGTGAATCAGCACCGAGCCAGCGGTCTATACAGTACAGAAATATACAAATATATTAAAAAACCCACACACTAAAAACCAGTATTGTGAAGCAGTTCCGCTTCCTCTTCATAAATATATATATATTACCTTCTTAGTTTAACTATGAAAGCATTTTAAAATTTTGATGCAATAAAAACATGCTTGCTTAGTTTGCGAAAGACAAAATAAAATCATAATTTACTTAGAATGTAATATGCCCTTTATATATAAATTTATAGTTTATATTATAGTTTAATAAACTGATGGATTTGAGTAAAACATAAAGTTATTAAATGTATACATAGTCTGCAGTTTGGATACTGATCATTATAGACCGCTGTTTCAAGAGTCTGGTTTTGAAGACACAGCTAAAAGAAAAGATCATTATAATATTTTATAGTAATGCAAAAATTTTATTTCTTCTGTTTACCTTACAGAACTGTTTTAAATATTTTAGGCTTTGCAAACTATGTAAAGCATTAAATAGTTATAAAAATATATTTACTATTTTATATATTATATAATTCTACTACCATTAGTTTTTATTAGAATCTTGTTGAAATAAAACAAATACTTAAATAAAGAATTATATTATACTCTGATAAAATGAATATAAATGAACATCCGCTCCATAATCATAAAATTTATCTTGTTCTTTTTTCTACAAATACTACCATAGTGACTGAATAAGCTAACATCTCTTGGGAGGCTTGTGAAAAAATACCCTAAAATCCTCCCCGCTGTCCAAAATGAGGCCAGTGCCACAAAATCATCAACTTACTATCTTAAACTAAACATAAGTTTATTGATAGATTTTAAATTTTATAGAAAAATGTCATAATTTGCAAAAGTTATGAACATAAAAATTTTTCAACCCCCCTCCCCCCAATAAAAAAAGAGATTTGTAAATTTTGCATGGTCATAACTTTTGTAATTTACAATACTTTTGCATGAAATTTGAAACTTGTCTATAAATTTAAATTTAGTTCAAGTGTGTGTGTGTGTGTGTGTGTGTGTGTGTGTGTGTGTGTGTGTGTGTGTGTGTGTGTGTGTGTGTGTGTGTGTGTGTGTGTATATATATATAATTATCATTTGATCTGTGGTAGTTAATAAACACTAACAATGAAAAAGACAGTTAAAATCAAAAAATTATTTTTTGAAGTTTTCTAAGAAAGCAAGCTATCAACTAAGATTTATAGAGCGAATCATTAAATAAAGATCTAGATTATATATAAACCTCAAACTTAGTAGCATTGCTATCAAAATTGAAGTTATGCCTGTAACCAAATGTAGGATCACAAGGGCCTTTTTTTCCAAATTTTTCATCTAAATCACATGGATGGTTACTAAAATAATAAAAAAAAGTTAATTATTTTTACTAAAACTAAATTCATGATTTAGACTTGTATGAATTCACAAATTTGTAAAACTCACATGATATCAACTTGCGTAAATGGTGACACAGTTTTATCCACAAATGAGCCAAATGCAAGCTGATAGTTTTTTGTTATTTTGTTGATTTCTTCAGCTATACAAATATAAATGCAAAAATAATAACTATGTATAAATTATTTACAAAAACATTTACCTCATTTTCATTTATCAGGGATCAGATAAAACTATTAAGACAAATACATGTAAACACAATCACATTACCACATAATTAGGGATCAAATAAAATTAATAAGAAAAAATAATAATTTTTGATAATTTGGATATTAATATAAATTACTATACTTTGAGATTTTTATAAGATCTAAAGTTATATGATTCTGTAGATTTATGTAACTCAGATTTGTTATATAACAAGAAGTGTTTTACTAAACCATTTCAAAACAAAATTTTAGAAAATTTGCTATTTGCAATAAAACTTTAAAGATTGTAAAGTAATTGTTTTTATTACATCTATGCATGTTAAAAACCTTTATTTTTAATGCAAACAAATTGCATCTTAAATGTTAACTTTTAAAAACTTAGTATAAATAGTATATTTTGTAAATTTTTGTTTCTTTCTTTTGATAATCTTTTCCATTACTTTGCTTGTATAACTTGATTATATGTACGTTTAAATTGATACTAATGATATCTACTGATGTCAATCAGTAGAGATACCATCACTTATATACTATATATCCATCATAACACCATCCCTCTTCCTCTTTACATAAGCAATACCAATTATATAGTGTTTAATTATACAGCTTAATAAGAGTGATTTTTATTACATGTAGTAGTGATAAGGATAATCTTTCAATACTTTAAAAGTTATAACTATATGTGCTTGGTAAAAATATACTTAATCAGGATTTTTACTTTTTATTTTCTTTACAAATTATTGTAAAAACTATTGTATTTAAAATTACCATTTTAAATACAAAAAGCTATATTCTGCTTTTCGCATATATATATATACTGCTTGAAAATGGCTATGACTGCTATCAACTTTAATTAAAAAATTTTAATTTTCTTTGATTATCCCTTAAAAATCTTAAATTACAGGTTTTTTAAAGTCTGAGTCATATCAAGAACTAAAATAAACAAAAATTACAAATTAAAAAATGTTTATACCTATTTTTTTACCAAGAGATTTTAACTTTTCTTGATCATCCTCCATAGATTTTGACATGTCCATCAAATAATAAAGTTGAACTGGATAGTCGCGAGCAGGTTTAACACTTATCTTGAATTGTTGTGATTGAACTATTTTAAATAAAATATCAATAATTGTGTTAAATAAAAAAAAAAATTTAATTCAATAACTTTGTTTATTATGTTTTGTGGTTCATATTGTTGCTTATGACTTAAAACAAGGAAAGATCATAGTAAACATTAACATATAGTGTCTCAGAAAATACAGCTGAAATGGCTTTAGTAATATTTGCGATTATTTGTTGTAGTATGAAGGCAAAATATAGATCAAACTTATTTTTTTTTAATGCTTTTTCAATTAAATTTTTTCTTAAAGATTTTCAATTAAATTTTTTCTTGAAAAATTTTTTCTCTTTAGAAAAAAAATTTCAAGCAAAATTTCAAGTTTGCAAAATAAAAATAAAACTTTTAAACTCTATTTGTAATAATTATTTAAAAATCTTGCTTACAGAACTCTAAACAAAATAGGCACCGTATCAAGACTAATGATTTGAATGGAATCTGAATAAATACCTATTTTGCTGTTTTTACTGTTTTTTTGTTGTTGCTTCTTAGACTATTTGTTTTCTTTAAAGGCGCCAGGTACTTCATAATAAAACAATCATTATATTAATAAATACATTTTTAAAAAATTACTTTTTAAATTTATATTAGACTTTTTTCTATAAAAACCAAATAAACTTAAGTGGTTTTGTTTCTAAAATTTTTATCTTTTTAAAAGTTTAATGATATTAAGTCAAAAAATAACAAATCATCGGCTATTAGTTTATTAACAATCAGAAAATTATTTACTTAGAAAACTGATTAAAAAACAACATTTTATCATAAATATTTTTCAAAATACCTTCTAGCTTAAACTCTTCTAATGTATAAATATTAAATTGATTTTAAATAGTTTTGATTATAATTAATATATAATTATTTTAACTTAGTTATGGCAAATTTTTACTTTAATTACATTTTTAAACCTATAAAACATTCTTAAAACAATTAGTTTTATTGTAATCAAAATATATTATTTACATGGTCGTAGTTTGAAGGATACTTCTTGAGGTACAACTTGAATTGTGGAACTAAATTCTTTATTTACTTCTGAAACCTAAATGTTAATGGATGTTTAAGTTAAAATCTATAATAAAAGTCTAAATCAAACTTATACATAATCGTAAAAACAGCTAATAATATAAATAACACAAACAAACATCTTAAATAGAATTATCTCTTGAATAAAAACTAGGTTTGACAAAAAATTAAATACATATTACAAATCATATAAAAAAAAAAATAAAAACAATAATTATAACTAATTAACTGGTAGTACTGCGCTCCATTTTCTCTGCGCAGCAACTTTTTATCATAGCTTTAGAGTAAAATGGTTGAAAGCGGATTGCAACATTTTAAAAAAAATTGTAGCTTTCTTGACAATAGAGTCCCTATTAAACTTTGGGAGACTCTGCCTTAACTGCTGTTTACATAAAGAACATTGATTTTTTTATTTCAGCAAATACACACATCAACGCTCGGCAATAACAACTTGAAAGTTTTTGAGGTAGGCAAAAAATTACCAAACTTGTTTCTATGTTTTATGGTAAAACCTTTGTATCTAATTTCTTGTCAACCTGATGCTGACCTCTAAAAGATTAAGGTAGGCAAATTATTGCTTCATTTTTTCTAATTCCGATGGCTTATACTTGGTTTCCTTAAAGGAATCCCTAAGTGCTATAAAGATATGATCTCATATGTAGGAGCATTAAAAAAAAAAATGTTTGATGTATATTATTTTTTCTAAAACGTAATAATGAACACACACTAACAAATTTAATTTTCAAATAAACGCTTTTTTTCGATTAAAAAAAATGCGTCTTGTCCAAAGTTTATTGACTCTAATGCCTCAAAAAACTAACGTTTGTACGTCAAAATAAACAAAGTAGACAAAATGTCATTATTGCAAACTTATTAGTTGGTAATTAAATTTAAAAGTAAAGTCGTTTTTTTTTAACTAACACATAATTACTTACAAGAATAAGTTTTGTAGCATTTTGTGAAAATATATTTGTATATTAAATTTTTTTTTATAATAATAATTTATATATTTGTGTTAAAAGGGCAATTCCACGGCTAAAAATGAATAGAAGTCAAATTTTAAACTCTTTTTTGTCAGTTAAAAACAAATGAATATTGACTTAGACATATGAAAGTTTATTTAAAAAATTATCGTCAATAAATCAAAAAACATCGTCAAAAACATAATAAAAAATTATATACCACGTTTTTTATAATTTATTGTTTCTTGAATAAAGGACTAATAAAAGTTTAAATATAATTAAGTTTTTCATTTAAATGATTGATGTTTTTATTCAATTTTTCTATTTCAAGTTTTCCAATAAAAGATAAAACAAAAAAATTTGGTTAAATAAATCGAATTATACTTCACGTTTAAAATAAGGCTTGAAAACGTTAAAGTAAAAAAAATTGCTGGTTTTTATTAGCATTTTTAAACTGTTTGAAAAAAAAAAACTAATAAAAAAGAATTAACTAATAATATATTTATTAATAATTATTAGAATTAATAACAATAACAATTAATTCTTTTTTATTAGTTTTTTTTTTCAAACAGTATAAAAATGCAAGTAAAAGTCAGAATTTTTTTTTCTCTAACGTTTTTAAGCCTTATTTTAAGCATGAAGTTTTGATAAACAAAGGTAAAAACCAACTTTTCAACTTTTCGCTTTAACGACCTAGTAAAAATTTTCCACGCAGAGATTTAAAGTAATTTAAATTCAAAAATGTTTAACGTTGAAAGAAAATCTCCGCGCGAAAGAGCAAATCATCTATTCATCTATCTATTCAGAATAATAAATTTTGTGTGACGTTCTTTATGATAAAAACATTACTTTTAAGAATTGCTAAAAAAAAATGCTAAGCTAGAAAAAAAGTAATTAAACAACCAAAAAAAAACAAATGGCGAAAAGATTTCTTTTAAGAAAAAACTAATCACAAAAGTGTGAAAAGCAATTGTTGCCTATTGTTGCTGTTGATTGTTGCCTATTAATACGAGCCCTATAAGACTTTTTTATAAGTTCTAAACTATTTAAAACTATTACTTTATAACTTTTTTTTAACGTCTTTCAACCGAATTCTATTATACTGTTTTTGCAAAACTAATTAAAAAAACTTGATTAAAACTTAACTATTTAATCACGACTTTTTTTTACTTCAAAATCGAAGTAGATATTTTAAAGTTGTTGTGACGTACTAACGTGATTTTTAACGTCTAACAATTGAGTTTCAATGGTGAAAAAATAAAATCAAAATGGAGTTGTTTTTCAGTGATTTCGGCAATTGCTTTTTGTTAGCATGCATTTATTATTACAATTTAGTGAAAAAGAAAAAAAACTTACATATTTTTTTTTTGTGCTCTTTCATATGAGATCATATGTTAGGAGCACTTAGGAATCCTTTTAAATTAAAATAGTAGATTATAGTTAATATAAGTATTTTTGTAGAGGCTTGATCTCTTACATTGTAAATAGGTCAATAAGGCATACTATTAACTGTTTTGATATTTTTTGTGACTTGAACTCTATAAAAATATCAATATTAAATATTGATTATAGTATTAAACATTTATTCTTATTTATAAATACATAACAAAAATACAAAAATACATTACTTACCACTTTGTTATCTTCTATACTAATCAATTTACAGTTTTGATCGCCTTGTAAGATTGGTTTTAAGTTGCATCGATCGTAAGGGAAACCCTTAAAAAGCATAAATAAAACCATTTGAAAAAACATAAATTTTTAATTTAGTATCATTTTATAATTGAATGTATTTATAAATGTATGTATGTATTTATGTATGAATGTGTGCATGTATGTATGTATGTATGTATGTATGTATGTATGTATGTATGTATGTATGTATGTATGTATGTATGTATTTATGTATGTATAAATGCATGCATGCATGTATGTATGAATGTATGTATATATGGTATATATGTATGTAAGAATGTATGTATGTATGTATGTATGTATGTATGTATGTATGTATGTATGTATGTATGTATGTATGTATGTATGTATGTATGTATGTACATATGCATGTATATATGTATGCATGTACATATATATGCATGAGTATATCTATGTATACAGTGTTTCACAGAAAGATGTACATTTGCACATCTTTAAATGACCATGCATGTACAATTTTTGTTTTGCTGACTTGGACACGGCTTTTAAATAATATGATAATTTTAACGCATTTTAAAAATGGCGTTTAAAAAAGAAAGTAAAATAAATAAAACATAGATGAGTATTTGATATTTTTTTCTATGAAAATCTCAGAAAATTTTTTTTTTTTTTAATTTATCGTATTAACACACAACAAAAACTTTTGTAAACTTTTAAAACGGAATTTAGATTATTTAACTTTTTACAAAAAGGAATTTCTAATATTCGGAAAAAGTTAATTTGTATGAATTAAAAATCAAAAAAAGAAAAAAAAAAAAAATTGTTACGAAAAGTGATCTTGTGAAAATTTTAATTATTGAAAACATAATTTTTTTAAATGCAAAAGTTGTCTTTAAAATACATAAATTTTTTTTCAAGTTGATAACAAAAAAATGCGGAAATTTCTGGAAAATTATAGGAATTTTAAGTGAATTTCTGGAATTCCCAGAAAAAACTCATCTATGATAAAAATGAAAATAAAAACCATAAACTGAAAAAAGAAAATAAATCTTAATCCAAGTGAAAATAAACAAAAATAAAAAAGTAAGTTATAAACCAAATTTTTATCTTTTAAATTTAAAAGTGTTTTGGTTAATAGACTTGCATAAAAATCAAAGTTTTCAAGTTAATTTTTTCAAAATGATTTATAAACAAAATTTTTTACTAATTTATTGCAGTATGTTATAGCAGGAGTGAATAGGCTGGTTTATAGCCAGGACGCGACAAATGATTTTTTTTTTTAAAATATACGTTGCCATTAGTATCTTTATTTGTTGATGAACCTCTAATTAAAAAGGTATATATCACATATATAAATAACAGTTTTATTTTCGAATAATTTTTTTATTCAAATAATCTTTTAAATTATGAGAGAATTATTTTTATATAACTTTTATTCTAGTTAATAAGTTATTAAATATGTCAAATATATATATATATTTTTTTAAACATTAAACTTGTTTCGGAATTGATAGCATAAGTAAATTTATCTTTATTTGATGAATTTACTAATGCTTGCCAATTTTCAGAGTGAATTCTAAGTAAATAAAAACATCAAGTTGAACATTTTGTTTGTTGATGTTGTTGTTCATTGTTGTTGCTGCCATTTTAAAAAAAAAAAAATGTGCTTTTGCTTTTTTTTACTATTATCTTCACGTGATTTACAATTTAAATATGATTGGTTTTCGCTCTTAAAAATTATCTTTTCTTAATAATAATAAATTAAACTATAATAAACAAAATAGTTTTATATATTCTATTAGATTATATATATTTCAGTGAAACATAAAAATTCTTTTAAAAACTTTTAAAGGTATTTTTAGTATGCAAACAAACATTACTTTATTTAAACGACAATAAGAAAATTAAAAAAAAAAGCACACATTTTAAATAAAGCATTTTAGCATGGTTTTTTTTTAAGTAATGACGAATCATTCATTTTAAGTAAAATTTTGCAGTCTTTTGTAAATGCATGTCAATGCATGTAAAAACCATGCCAAAACATAATTACTTTAATAACTTAGTTTAAAAGTAAAAAAATGAAAGTAATCCTGTTTTAGCTTGGTTTTTTTTAAAGTTGTTGAAAATGCGTTTTAAATGTTTATAACTAATTGTTCTTTTCTAACTTGTATTTTTTATTATAAATAAAAAACTGTTAATTGCATAATTATTGAAAAAAAAATGCTGAAGTAAAGCGCTCATTTTTAAAATTTTAGAGTGAACACCAACATTTACTCAAGTAAAAATAAAAAATTGTTACGTTCTCATTCTTAATAAGCATTCTGATGAGTCTTTGTTGATGAAACACAGTGTAAAATGAAAAAAATTTTTGTTAAGTGATTTTCTACTATTTTAAATTGCTCTGTTCTTTTAAGAACATTGAGCACTCTATTTTGTAGATTACTTTTTTTAAAAATTGTTTAAATATATATATATATATATATATATATATATATATATATATATTATATATATATATATATATATATATATATATATATATAAACAATTATTGGGGTGTAGAGCAGTTTGTAATGGGTGTAGAAAAGAAATGAAAGGTCAAAGGATGCATGAACATACAAAAAAGTGCAAGCAATCACAACACTATGAAATTATGGAGTCAATAGAAAATCAATAACTTCTTGAAGGTAATTAAATTACTGCATTGTCATTTTTAATTTTATACTTTGCCTAAATTGTAAACATATATATTTAAATTACTACCACGTATAGACATTAACTTAGAATAATTCAATTAACTGCAACTTCTTTTCAAAGGTAACTCACCATCAACATCACAACAACAAATGAAAAGGTCTCAGCCCAATTCAACATCAGCTGATAAATATTTGAAAATTGATAAGTTATTCACACGAACAAGCCTCAAAAAGAAAGATTTATTTGATCTGCAACTTGGTAGATTTATATACAGTACAAACTCTAGCTTTAGAACAATTGAATACAAAAAAATTTTAATTTTTATCAATATACTTCATGCAGGATACAATATACCTAATAGAACTCAAATTGAAGGAGAAATATTAGATAGGTTTACACAGAAGAAAATGAAAAATGCAATCTATTAAATGGGAAAATTGTAGCCATGTCTATAGATGGCTGGAGTAATGTATAGTTGATATTTAATTGGAGTATGTATATAATGAACGTATAGTTAGTATCTCTGTAATTACAGATAAACTTAACATTTTTGTAGAAACAATCAACACTTCTGGTCATTCAAATGACCAGAAGTGGTAAATATCTTACACAATTAGCAAGAGAAGCAATAGATTCTGTAAGACACAAATTTGAATGCACAGTAAAAAGCTTTGTGACTGACAATGCAGCTAATATGAAATCAATGAGACAAGTACTGTCATCTGAAAGAAATATTATCATAACTTATGGGTGTGCTGCTCATATGCTGAATCTTTTAGCAAATTATCTTAACATTGAAAATGTGAGCAAGCATGTTACACAAATAACAAAATATATTAGAAATAATTATCAAGCTGGAGCAATTTATAAATTGAGCGGAGGAACAAAATTGCCACTTCATACTGAAACTCGCTGGAATTCTGCATGTGATTCACTTGAAAAATATTTCAACAACTGGAACTTCATTTTCAGTATGCTTGAAAAAAATAAAGACTTGCATTCCATAATTGGTAAAAAAGTAAGTGATATATAGATAAACCAAAACACAGAAGATTTATTGAAAATATTAAAACCAATTGCAGTAGCTCTAGATAAGTTGCAAAGAGATCAAAAAAAAAATAAGTGACACTTGAAATTTTTATAGATTTGATGAACATTTTTATCAAAAAAAAAATTGTATCTAGATACCTTCAGACTGTCAGTGATGCTCATTACCTGGAAACACACTAAATCCTAGATATTTTGAATCTAATCTTTCTGAAAAAATGAAAATGAAGCTGCCATGAATTTCGCAGATAAAGAATTCAAGAATTTGTTACCAATAACATTCAAATTAAAAACCAAATCTACTCCATTCGATAAAAGCTATTTGTATAGTGAATCTGTTTTAAAAAATGTACCATTATTAGAATGGTGGAAATCTCTAAAAATTGTGGATTGTAACATAATGGATATTAAAGGTTTATTAAATGCACCAGCTTCTAGTGCTGGAATCAAAAGAATTTTTTCAACTTTTGGCCTTGTTCATTCCAAGTTAAGAAACCAATTGGGGGTAGAAAAAGCAGCAAAGCTTGTATTTATATATAGAACATTAAACAATAATGTATTGAATAATTCTGATGAAATATAACAGTAATATTGATAAAGAATATAGTTTACTCAAATAAAATGCGTTATGCTTTTTTTTTTAATTTAAAAGGATAACTAAATACAGTATTTTTATAATAAAAACCTAATTTAAAAAACCAAAAAAAACATGGTTTAAAAAACCAAAAAAAAAACATGGGTTTTCTTGCAGCCCTGATTTTAAGTCAATTTCTAAGAGAGGAACCAAACAAAAAATTGGTGAGAGGACCTGGCCCTCCCCTGGTGTTGTAGCCCTGAATTAAATTAGGAAGGAATGATATTATTAAATCTGAATATTGTGTGTGAAACTTGAGCTTGAGTGAAATTACCTTGAACTTATCCCTATGAAACTCTTTTTAATAAGATGAGCAACAGTTGGTTTTATTTCTAACGTCACTAATATTACATTAAATATACTTATATATCGGAAGTTTCACTATGCACGTGCACATTGCAGACTCCATTAAATTAACACTAAGGGATGTTTTAATTTAAAGACAGTTTTATTCTTTACTAATGATTATGTATTTTTCTATATAAAATAAACTTGTATATAAAAAACTAGTATATTTCTATTATCTCCGTTCGTATATATATAAAAAAAAAACGCGTTCTATATATATATATAAAAAAAAAAAACGCGTTCTATATAAAATATTTATATGTATCATGTACCAAAAATATGCTCAAAACAGACATTACACTTTTTTATATAACGCAAGTGAAAACACTAAGCAACA